AGCCCTGGGCAGGCTCCTGGGGCCCGTCTCACCCCAGGTACAGGCTGCAGGGCCCGTCAGCTCTGGGCAGGCTGCAGGGGCCCGTCAGACCCCGGGTGCAGGCTGCATGGCCCCTCAGACCCCGGGTACAGGCTGCAGGGGCCCGTCAGACCCCAGCCCTGGGCAGGCTGGCCGACACACTCACGCGACATCATCCTGTTCTAGTGAAGCTGGACCCTCCCTCCGACCTGCAGAGCAATGTCAGCTCCGACTCCTGTGTCCTGACCTGGGGCGTCAGCCCTGCCTTGGAGCCGCTGGCCTTGCTGCTCAGCTACGAGCTGGCCTTCAAGAGGCAGGAGGAGGCCTGGGAGGTAACACTCGGGCCGGCCAGCGGGGGCCCGGCCTCTCCTCATTCCACACAGGGAGAGGCTGGCGGGGGCTCTGAGAAGGGCGGTGACCAGAGCCCAGAGAACGTGTGTGCACGCATGCCCGTGTTTGTATGTCTGTGTACGAGTGTGCCTGGGTATGCCTGAACATGATACATGTGAGTGCCCACAGGCCATGCCTATGTGTATGCGTGTAGTGAGGGTGGTGAGCATGTTTGTGTGTGCGCATGTGCGAGCAAGCACGCAGGTAGGAGAGTGTAGGCGTGTGCCTGTGGGTATGTGCGTGCATACATGCGTGAGTGTGCCGTGTGCACACGCGTGTGGTGAGTGTGCCTCAGTGTGCGTGTGTGCGTCCTCAAGGGCTGGCGGACCCAGTCTCACCCTCAGCAACTCCTGATTGTCCTCACCCCCCTAGCGGGCCCGGCACAAGGGTCACATTGTTGGGGTGACCTGGCTTATCCTTGAGGCTGCTGAATTGGACCCCGGTTCCACCTATGAGGCCAGGCTGCGTGTCCAGATGGCCAACCTGGAGGACGTCATGGCCGAGGAGGAGCGCTACGAGGGCCCCTGGAGCGAGTGGAGCCAGCCCGTGAGCTTCCTGTCTCCCCAGAGACAAGGTGGGTGCTCGGGGCTGCTGTCCTTTGGGAGTCTCGCTGGGCCTCCCCTCCCGCCCTTTTACTCCTGGGACCGTCCCTGAGGCAGTCATGCCCCAGGCGAGCATAGCCCTGAGGTCTGAGGAGTGCAGGGAGCTCAGATTTCCTAGGAACCTGGAGTCCTTGCTCAGCTGGTATGGGGGGGCGGCCCACAGCTGCCCCAGGCCTTAGGGAGGGCTGGCGGCCCTGTGCACAGGGTGCTGGGCAGGCTCCCTGACCCGATGGCCTGGCAGGAGGGACGGTGAGGCCAGGGTGCACGAGTCAACCAGGCGCTTTAGCAGGCACCGCGCAGACCTCCAGGCCCATCCCAGCTCCCCACGCAGGCCCGGGGCACTCGGGGGGTGTCTTTGCCATGTGGGTTTGCGGGGATGTCCTGGTGCTGAGGCTGCTCACAGTTCTGGGCCCTTCCTGCTCTCAGGCCTCCTGGTCTCGCCTCTGAGGCAGCCCGACAGCACCTTTGTCGCCATGTCCATCTTTCTCCTGCTGACCAGCCTGACCTACGTCCTGTTCAAGCTGTCACCCAGGTCGGTACCCAAGGGCTGTGCATGTGACTGTGTGCATGTCTGTGAATGTGTTCTGTGTGTATTTGTGTGCATGTGGCTGTGTGCATGTCTGTGAATGTATTCTGTGTGTATTGTGTGTGCATGTGGCTGTGTGCATGTCTGTGAATGTATTCTGTGTGTATTGTGTGTGCATGTGGCTGTGTGCATGTCTGTGAATGTATTCTGTGTGTATTGTGTGTGCATGTGGCTGTGTGCATGTCTGTGAATGTATTCTTGTGTGTATTTGTGTGTGCATGTGGCTGTGTGCATGTCTGTGAATGTATTCTGTGTGTATTTGTGTGTGCATGTGGCTGTGTGCATGTCTGTGAATGTATTCTTGTGTGTATTGTGTGTGCATGTGGCTGTGTGCATGTCTGTGAATGTATTCTGTGTGTATTGTGTGTGCATGTGGCTGTGTGCATGTCTGTGAATGTATTCTGTGTGTATTGTGTGTGCATGTGGCTGTGTGCATGTCTGTGAATGTATTCTGTGTGTATTGTGTGTGCATGTGGCTGTGTGCATGTCTGTGAATGTATTCTGTGTGTATTGTGTGTGCATGTGGCTGTGTGCATGTCTGTGAATGTATTCTGTGTGTATTGTGTGTGCATGTGGCTGTGTGCATGTCTGTGAATGTATTCTGTGTGTATTGTGTGTGCATGTGGCTGTGTGCATGTCTGTGAATGTATTCTGTGTGTATTGTGTGTGCATGTGGCTGTGTGCATGTCTGTGAATGTATTCTGTGTGTATTGTGTGTGCATGTGGCTGTGTGCATGTCTGTGAATGTATTCTGTGTGTATTGTGTGTGCATGTGGCTGTGTGCATGTCTGTGAATGTATTCTGTGTGTATTGTGTGTGCATGTGGCTGTGTGCATGTCTGTGAATGTATTCTGTGTGTATTGTGTGTGCATGTGGCTGTGTGCATGTCTGTGAATGTATTCTGTGTGTATTGTGTGTGCATGTGGCTGTGTGCATGTCTGTGAATGTATTCTGTGTGTATTGTGTGTGCATGTGGCTGTGTGCATGTCTGTGAATGTGTTTTGTGCGTATTTTGTGTGCATGTGGCTGTGTGAAGTCTGTGAATGTGTTCTGTGTGTATTTGTGTGTGCATGTGGATGTGTGTGCGTGTCGATGTGTGTGGTAAGTGGGGTGCGGAGGGCAAACCAGCAATGCTCCCTGTGCTCCTCCCTTTCCCACCGTCAGGTCCTGGATGGGGTGGGGAGTT